AGGTAGGTGCTATCTATTATGAGGCCCACTTTATAGTTGAGCAAACTGAGGCAAAGAGAGGCTAAGTTATTTACCTAGGGTCACACAGCCAGAAAATGTCTGAGGCAAAATGGGAACTCAATTCTATCCTGACTCCAGGCCCAACACTTTAACCACCGTGCTACCTACCTGTCCTGATCTGATCAACTCAGTAACCAACCGTGACTCCAGAGGACCAATGGTGAAGCAGGCTACCCACCTCCTGATGGGGAGGTGACGGACTTGTGGTATAAATTGCAACATCTATTTTTTAATAGTACTTTTTTCCAATCACATATCAAGACCATTTTTAGCATTCGTTTTTACAAGATTTTGAGTTCCAAATTTTTCTCCCTCCCTCCTTCTCCTCCCCTCTTCCTAAAATGGTAAGCAATGTGATATGGGTTATACATGTGCTATCACGTGAAACATATTTCCATGTTAGTCACAGTTGTGAAAGAAGAAACAGATCAAAAGGAAAAAGCCATGAAAAAGAATAAAGTGAAAGAAGCATGCTTTGATCTGCATTCAGAGCCCATCAGTTCTTTATCTGGATGTGGATAGGATTTTCCTTTTTGAGTTCTTTGTACTGGTCTTGGATCATTGTGTTGTGAGAAGAGCTAAGTCATTCATAACTGATCATCACACACTGTTGCTGATACTCTGTACGATATTTTCCTGGTTCTGCTCATTTCACTTTGCGTCAGTTCGTACAAGTCTTTCCAAGTTTTTCTGAAATATGCCTGCTCATCATTTCTTATGGCACAATAGTTTTCCATTACATTCATATACCACAGCTTATTCAGCCATCCCCCAATTAATGGGCATCCCCTCAATTTCCACTATTTTGTCACCACAAAAAGGACTGCTATAAATATTTTTGCACATGTGGGTCCTTTTCCCTTTTTAATGATCTCTTTGGGATACAGACCTAACAGCAGTATTGCTGGGTCAAAGGGCATGCAGTTTGGTTGCCCTTTGGGCATAGTTCCAAATTGCTCTCCAGAATGGTTGGATCAGCTCACAACTCCACCAACAATGTATTAATGTCCCAATTTTCCCACATCCTTTCCAATACACACACACACACACACACACACACACACACACACACACACACACATATATATATATAATTTTCCTTTTTTTTTGTCATGTTGGCCAATCTGATAGGTAGGAGGTGGTATCTCAGAGTTGTTTTGATTTGTATTTGCTAATCAATAGCGATTTAGAGCACTTCTTCTTATACCCATAGATAGCTTTGATTTCTTCATCTGAAAATTGCCTGTTCATATCCCTCAACCATTTATCAAATGGGGAGTAGCTTGTATTCTTATAAATTTGACTCAGTTCTCTACATATTTGAGAAATTAGGCGTTTATCAGAGACACTTGCTGTAAAGATTGTTTCCCAGCTTTCTGCTTTCTTCTAATCTTTGTTGCATTGCTTTTGTTTGTGTAAAAGCTTTTTAATTTAATATAATCAAAATTACCTATTTTACATTTAATGATGCTATCTCTTGTTTGGTCATGAACCTGTAACTCACTTAACTTCTCCATAAAGAATTTGGATGCTATACCACTTGATGCATATGTTTAGTATTGATATTACTTCATTGCCTATGGTACCTTTTAGCAAGATGTAGTTTCCTTCCTTATCTCTTTTAATTTGGTCTATTTTTGCTTTTGCTTTGTCTGAGATCAGAATTGCTACCCCTGCCTTTTTTACTTCGGCTGAAGCATAATAGATTCTGCTTCAGCCCCATACCTTTACTCTGTATGTGTCTCTCTGCTTCAAGTGTCTTTCTTGTAAACAACATATTGCAGGATTCTGGTTTTTGATCCACTCTGCTATCCACTTCTGTTTTATGGGAGAGCTCATCCCATTCACATTCAAAGTTATGATTACTAACTGTGTATTTCACTCCATCCTATTTTTTCTCCTGTTTGTCCTTTCTCTCCTTTCACCCTTTCCCACCTTGATAGTGTTTTGCTTCTGTCTACAGAGGTTCCCAAACTTATTTGGCCTACCACACCTTTTCAAAAAAATAAAAATTACTTAGCGCCCCCCTGGAGATCTACTTTCTTTACCCCTTTAACATTTTTAAAAATTTGCACCATTTCAAAAATTTACATTTTTAAATGATGAATCTTAAATTTAATGATTTATTGTACATTTTGGGGTTTTTTTTCCCTGCATTGAAATATTCAATGCAATATTGCATCACGTAACCATGTAGTATCATATTGTCAACAAGTCATTACATACACATACATTACATCCTGCCAATACATGCTGGATTCCATGACAATGCATAATATGCTCACCTGCCAACACCTGCTTATTAAGACCTGTCAGCAGACTTAACCACTGACGGGTTATAACTTGTATTTTGTGTGTTTATGTGGAAAATAATGTAATCACTACAACTTTAACTCTGTTATACAACAGATGAAACATGTATGAACAGTTTTTCAAAATTTTCTTATCTTCTTTTTTTATACTTCCACCGCCCCCTTAGTTTTATTCAATGCCCCACAAATTGCACCCAAGGCTACTACTGCCCACCCCTATCATTCCAGCACCCCAGGGGGCAGTATCACCCACCTTGAGAACCTCTGGTACCACCTCCCTCATCTACCCTCTCTTCTGTCAGTCCCTCCCTCCTCCCCTCCCCTTTACTTAATCTCCTCCCCTCCTATTTTCCTGTCAGGTAAGATAAATTTCTATATTCAACTGATTGTGTATATTATTCTGTCTGAAGCAATACTGATGACAGTATGGTTCAAGCCATGCCCAATGCCCACCTTCCCATCTTTCCCTCCACTGTAATAGGTTTTTTGAACCTCTTCATGTGAAATAATTTACCCCATTCTACCACTCCCTTCCTTCTGCACCCAGGGTACTCCTCTTTCTCATCCCTTAATTATTTTTTAATGTCATTCTCTCAAATTTCCCTTATACCCACACCCTCTATGTATATTCCTTCTAGCTATACTATTAGTGGTACAATTTTTAAGAATTAGAAATATCATCTTCCCATGTAGGGATGTAAACAGTTCAGCTCCATTGAATCCCTTATATTTTCTTTTCCTTTTTTACCTTTTTAGGCTTTTCTTGGGTCTTGATATTGGAGATCAAATATTTTTGTTCAATTCTGGTCTTCTCCTTATGGAAGCTTGAAATCCTTCTATTTCATTGAATAGCCATTTTTTCCCTTAAAGTATTATGCTTAATTCCACTAGGTAGATGATTCTTGGTTGTAGTCCTAGCTCCTTTGCCTTCCAGAATATCATGTTCCATGACCTCTGATCCTTTAATGTTGCAGCTACTACATCCTATGTAATCCTGATTGTGGCTCCTCGATATCTGAATTGTTTCTTTCTGGCCACTTGCAGTATTTTTTCCTTGACCCGATAGTTCTATAATTTCATTGTACTATTCCTTGGAGTTTTTATTTTAGGATCTCTTTCCTGAGGTGATCATCGGATTCTTTCAATGCCTGTTTTGCCCTCTGATTCCAGGATATCAGGGCAGTTTTCCTTGATAATTTTTTGAAAGACACTGTCCAGGTCCTTCTTTTGATTATGGCTTTCAGGCAGTCCAATGATTCTGACACTGTCTCTTCTGGATCTGTTTCCCAAGTCGGCTATTTTTCCAATGAGGCATTTTACATTTTCTTCTATTTTTTCATTCTTCTGAATTTGTTTGATTGATTTTTGATGTCTCATAGAGTCATTAGCTTCTGCTTGCCCAATTCTAACTTTTAAGGAGTTGTTTTCCTCAGTTAGCTTTTGTATCTCCTTTTCCATTTGGCCAACTGTACTTTTTAAGGAGTTGTTTTCCTTTTCCAAGATGCTGACTCTTTTCCCATGATTCTCTTGCATCACTCTCATTTCTTTTCCCAATTTTTCTTCTACCTTTCTTGTATGATTTTTAAGTTCCTTTTTAAGCTCTTCCATAAGTTCTTTCTAGACTTGAGACCACTTCCTGTTTTTCTTTGGGGTTTTGCCCATAGGTGTTTTGACATTTTTGTCCTCTTCTGAGTTTGTGTCTTAATTCTCCCCGCCACCATAATAACTTTCTATGATCAGATTCTTTTTTTGTTGTTTTGGGGTTGTTGGTATTTTTTTTTTTGCTCATCTTTTTTGGCCTTTTTCCTTTAAATTAGAGCTCTGCTCCCAGGGTGGAAGGGGCATTGCCTCAAGGTTCTAGTGCCAGGCGCTGCAGGCCCTGGCTGTTTACCTGGTGCTGTACTGGCGTTGGCCTGAAGCTCACAGGGCACCCTGGGCTGAAGGGGTAGGGTGGGGATTGGCTAGTGCTGTTGGAAGCCAAAGGGTCTGGCAGCTTACACTGTGCTAAGCTGGGGTCCTAGTACTGGTGTCTGGCATGTGCTGAGGCTGGTGGGGTGTTTCTGCATTTCCCCAGAGCTACCCTGCAGCATGCGGAGGTCTGGCCACTAGAGGCTGCCTGTTTGTCAGGGGCTATGCTGAAGCACATGGCAGTTCTGGAGCTGGGGTCTGTTCTCTTGGCTATGCTGCATCACATGGGGGGGGTTGGGGGAGGTGGACATCCTGGTGTTGGCGTTTGCACTGGGGTTCAGGATCTCCTGCTGGTTTGCTGATGTGGGGCTTGCTGCTGGCTTGCTGGGATGCTTCCTGTTCTGGACTGCATTCCCTTTTACCTGAGTGACAGACCTTTCTTGTAGATCTTCCAAGTTTCTTGGTCTAAAAGATTGTTTCACTGGTTCTGTTGTTCCAGGATTTGTTTGGGGGCACTATTTTATGGGTGTCTGGAGGTGGCTGTGGGAGGGTTATGGTGATTTACTGCTTACTCCACCATCTTGGCTCCTGGAAGTTATGCAACATCTATTTTTTGGATGCTAAAGTGAGAATTTGTTTTGCTTGATTATGCATATTTATTATAAGGATTTTGGTTTTTCTTCCTTTTTTCAATGGATGGGAGAGATGGGAGGGAGAGAAGGTAGATTTTTTTTAATTGACAAGATAAAATTAAATGAAAGCAAAACAAAAAACATGTACCTGTCTCCACTTTTATTATTGATGGTGATTAGTCCTTTTCTTCCTCCTGACCCTACCCCAAGGCATTAAGCAAGTGAAATAAATTTCATCTGTCTTCTAGACTATTTAACTAAAAAAGAAGTTGACTTAACTAGAAATTGTCAATATGTATGGCTAACTGCATCGGTGTATTGCTGTTCCAGATAGGGGAGAAGGAGGGATCTGGATTCTCCTCATGATCCTCCCTTTCACTCTGGGTTCATTTCTCAGCCATAAACAACACACTCTTCTAGTCCTAAAACTAATTCTGCCTGCAAACACATTTGTTCCCTCCTTTACTCCAAATGGAGATAAGCTGGAATGTGGTTTAAAAATTATTAGGAAAAGTGAAAAACCTGATGTTCTTCTGGGGACAAATGTTTATTTGTGCACAATTCAATTTGCATGTAAACAACGACATGTGTCAGCAATTGGGCTATGATGAGGTCCAATTGCTCTTGGTAATTTGAGCTGGGGAGAAAGTCCGATGCCTGAGAAATGCAATGCCTGCAAATGATCCGTGCAATAATGAAGTCCCAGGGATATGTTTATGCATAACTTGAAGACACAGAGAGCTGCTCCTACAGTTTTTCTCCATGTGGAAGTCAAGTACAGCTGAGCATTGAAAAAAAAAATGACTAGAGCAACCCACATGTTTTCCTTTTCCAAAGAAACCATTACAAGCTTCTGGGGAATGACCCAGATTACTGAACAGGCAGCAACAAAAGATTTTTGCTTTAAACACATACCTACTGAATTTTTAAAAAAATACTTATTACAAGATATCAAAGAATGAGAAGTAGGTAGTATTTATAAAGCACTTTAAGGTTTGCAAAGTGTTGTACATATAATTTCTCATTTTATCCTCACAACAATTCTGGGAGGTAGATGCTATTATATTATGATCCCCATTTCACAGATGAGGAAACTTAGACTGAGAAGTTTACATATGGTCACACAGCTAGTGAGTGTCTGCGTCAGGGTTTCAACTCAGCTCTTCTTGACTCCAAGTCCAGTATTTTTTTGCAACTCCACTTAGCTGTGTAAAATCAGTGAAATCATGAAATCTCATCCCTAGAAGGGACCACTTTCCAGCCCTTTTAGAGTCAGGCAATTCCTCTACAAAATTCTCAGTAAGTCACTCTCTAGCCTCTCCTCTCATGGTTCCAGGGGCCAGAAGTTCTCTGCTTCCTAAGGGGAGCCTGTTCCAATTTATTTCTTTTAAGAAAAATATTTTATTGATTCCTCTTGCCTATACATGCCAGTCATTTCTGAAAAAACCCTCCAGATTGAACTCTCCCTGGCAATAAAAAAAAAAAATCAATTAAACAAAACCATCTGATGCATTAACAGCATCTGCCCTAATAGTCTCCACCACCTGGCCCCTTCCCACCCTTCCAGTTTCCTTACATTTTATCTCTTCCACGAACCTTACAATCCAGCTCTACTGGTCTACTTGCTGATCTTCATTCATGATACTTCATTTCCAGACTCCATGCTTTTGCATGGGCTATCCCCTCTACCTAGAATGTCCTCCCCCTTCCGGTTTCTCTGCTCAAATCTCACCTTCTGAAGGATGCCTTTCCCAGTGTTCCTCCCTCCTTCCCAGCAGCACTTCCTCTGAAATCACCTTCATGTATATGTATGCATGTATATACACATGTGCACACACATATACATATATGTATATATGTATACATATATGTGTATATGCATGTGTGTGTATGTATATATACACATTATACAGAGAGACACAGAGAAGAGAAAAGGTAGGTATTTACATGTTATTCCCCCCCCACCCCCATTAGAAGGTTAGCTCCCTGAGGGCAAGAATTCTATTTTTTTTTTGCCTTTCTTTGTAACCCCCACCATTTGGCACAGTGCCTGGCACTTAGTTAAACATTTAATAAATGGCTGTTGACCGACCGATTAACTGCGTAGTAAGGAGGAAGATAACGTTTCATTATCAGTTCTCCAGGATCATTACCGATTTTTCAGTTACTCAGAGTTTGCCTTCCTTTCAGGGATCTTTACATTTACAGTTAAAAGGCACTGTGTATATCGTTCCTTTGGTTCTGCTTATTCACTCTACATTCATTCATACACTTTCCCCTGTTCCTCTGAATCGTTCCTATCTGTCACTTCTTATTGCACAATAATGTTCCATACCTTCATATACCACAGTTCTTTTTTCAGCCACTCACTCCCTGATTGAGGGACACTCACTTCTTTCCAGTTCGTATGTCTTGCATAGATCAAAACTCTGTTTTCTGTTTGAACCTCCTTAGGGTCAAAGAGTAGGGACAATTTAGTGCATAATTCCAAACCGATTTCCAGAATGGCTATACCAACTGACAGTTCTACTAACAATAGATTCCCGTGCCCTGCCTTCCCATAGCCCCTCCAACGTGATTTTGTTCCCATTTCTTGTTACCTTTGTTGGTTTTCAGGAAATGAGGTAAAACCTCACAGTTATTTTAATTTTCATTTCACCTAGTGATTTGGAGAATTTTTCAAACAGTCTCTTATAGTTTGCACATGTCCCAGTCAAGTCTTCTTTTCTCTGGGTTAAACACCCCTGGCTCCTTCAAACCACCCACACAAGGCACGGTCTTGATGCTGGTCATCGTCCCCTGAATGAGTCAATGTCCTTCCTAAACTGTGTCACCTGGGAGTGAACGTAATATTCCAGATGGAAGTATGGGGTCCCCTTCCTGTACCTCAGTTTCCTCTGCTGTACGAGGGGGTTGGACTTCAAGATCCCTAAGGTCCTTTCTAGTTTGAAATCTATGATCCTACGATATCAAAAATGACAAGAATTGGCTAAATTAAATTAAACATTCATTTATAGAGCAAAAACTATTTTAAATTATTTAGTATTTTATTTTTCCCCTAGTTACATGTAAAAACAATTTTTAACATTCATTTTTAAAATTCTGAGCTCTAAATTCTCTCCTTCTCTGCCTCCCCACCCCCCTCATTGAGAAGGCAAGCAATTGGATGTAGGTTATACTTGCATAGTCATGCAAAACATATTTCTGTATTAGTCATAAACATTTATTTATAAAGAAAGCTTTCCTGAGACGGTGACAAAGGTCCAATGCAAGAAATACGAAAAAAAGAAAAGGAGAAAGACTAGGGGTGGGGGTGGGGGGAGGGTCAACAGGTTCAGTAAGAAAGGCTACGAGAAGGGGGACTCCTTAGCCTGGCATCTGACCCCACAGGGAGTGGGAGGGAAGGCTGACAGTTCAGGCAGGCTGATGAAACAAGTGACTTACCAGAAAACAATGCTGAGTGGGTTCTAGCAGTGCCTGTGAAACAGGAAGGAGATGAGAAAGATCTAAAAGATGTGAGTAAGATATAACTTTTAGCATGATTTAAAAAAAAAAAACCAACAACTGGATTCTTACCTCTGAATATATACCCATAGAAATACATACGGATATGCCTGCTACATTATTTCTGGATCCCAGGATAGAAGATGTATAGGGGAGACTGATTTGGAGAATCTCTTCCTAACCCAGGTTCTAGATCCAATTTCACAAAATCATTCTAAGCAAGACTCAAAAATTCTCAAATTCCCACCAAAGGTTCAGAGGTCTGAATGCCTTTCTAAGTATAGTAATTGGTTGAGGAGAGAGCAAGGAGGTGCTGGTTGATATCTGTCCTCTTCTAATGACTCATTCATTGTGGATTAGGGGTGAACCTGTTTCCAAAGGTTATCCTTTGAGACAGAAGCTCTGGCAGGTACTATTAAACTGGAATTAGGATTCAAGTACATGTCCCAAAACAAACTGTGTACCTGTCCCCTGAGGACCAGCCTGGCAAAGTACAGAGAAACTCACCATCAGAAGACGGAGGACAAATGTCCTTCACTGCAGTGACTAATAAAGACTGTCTGTGGAAAGCCTGAGATCTACACTGGTGGAAAAAATACCCACACCAATGAATTTCATAATATCCTTGAAGCATCAAAGTGACATTTCTATGCAGATTTATGGTTTATGAAGTGCTTTATTATATACCTTAGCCCACTGGATCCTTACCACAACCCTGCAAGACAGGTAGTAAAGGTACTGCCTCCATTATACAGATGGGGAAATCGATCCTCAGAGGGTTAAGGTGAGTTGCCCCAAGAAACAGAACCCAAGTCTTCTTGGCCTCAAATCCAGTATTCTTTCCGTGAGTCACTCAGAAAGCACTTTGCATAGAATAACTTGGTACGTCAAGCTGAAAAACATTCATAAAGCACCCATCACGAGCCAAACACTAGGCTAAGCACTGGGGATCCAAAGAAAGGTAAAAACAATCCCTGCTGTCAAGGACCTCATGTTCTAACAGGGGAAATAACACACAAACAAGAATGTACAAACCAGATCCATACGGCACAGACTGGAGGTATTCTCGGGCAGAAGAGAGTAGCATTAGCAGGGAAGAAGTAGGTGATATAAGCACTTTTCACCCCCATTTTACAGATGAGGAAACAGAGGCCCAGGACGGTTGTTGTAAAGCGCCCTGCTGATGGTCACACCGCTACTCAGCAGTTGGGATTTCAATTCAGATCGGCCACCTCTTCCAGGCCCAACTTTCTTGGTTCAGTGGAAAGAGCCTTGGATTTGGGGTCAGAGTCTGAATGCCGGTTGTTATCTATGTCACTGTGAGCATGAACGAGTCTCTTCACCTCTCTGGCTCTCGGATTCCTCACCTGTAAAATGAGGGGCTGGACTAGATGATGCTGGCAGGCCCTGGCGGCTTCAGATTCGTGATGGACGACATCAGACCTCTGTAGCTAATCACTTCCCTGACGGGGGATTCCTTTCATGTAAGGGTGGGGCTCCATGGCCACCGAGATCCTTTCCAAATCCCAAATTCTGTGATTCTTGTGAAACCAAACCTAGTGCTTTTTCCCCTCAATACACCAAACTACGCCCTCTCCTCCCCCCAGTGTTATACCTCTGCATAGAGTTATCTGCCGTGTCTGGTTTGGCAGATATTCAAACTGCTTGTTTCCTCAACATTTAGACTGTTGATAGTAACACAAATAAAAGGGTGAAATGGAGAAACTGTGGAAATTCATAAGCAATTTTTTTTAAAAAATGATAGTACAGTGGAAAGAACAAATCCTTGGGCTTCAGTTTGCCCATCCATAAAATGGGGGTGATGGTAAGACTAAGCCGCAGGCAAGGGAAGCACTGCACACAGGAGCTGAACCTGCACCTCTCCCGAGCCTTCTGCTTTCAAAATGTCAGTTCAAGTCATTAGGAAAAGCCAAAAGACAATGAGGGAGAGATGAAAAAAATCCCATTGCTCATCTGAACTTGGCTCAGCGAGACCAAAAATGTTACCCCTCAAGGTGGTTACCAGTGATAAGATGCAAACAAACAGTAGCCCTTCCCTGCCTTCATCGGAGCCCATCCTCCACAAGCACCCAGCTGCCAACTTTCTTTGCAACATGGGAAATGAAGTGTTTGGTAATAAGTTGTGTAAAAAGAATTGCGTAAACATAAGCAGGGGAAAAAAAAACACACATACATACACACACACACACACACACACACACACACACACACACACACACACACACACACACACACACACACCACCCCAGTGTGCACTCACCTCCCAGCTGTGTCTGTCATTCTCCTTTTAGTCGACCAGAGACTCCATTCAGCTGGAGCTTGGGTTCCATTTCCTTGTAGAGTGGGATCCTCCACACTGGCCTTGAATTCAACCCAATAAACATTTATGTCAAGGCTACGGACTGCGCTGGACAAGACACCCTCAGTGATTTCTAGCAAACAAAATATTTTCCTCCTAATAAATGCTGGTGGTCTGGATAGGAGTGCAATGATCACTCTCCTCATGTTACAAATGTCACCCAGGTCTCTGACTCCCCAGTTCTCATTCTGATTACAAAGATGAATGAGCTTCCACCTGTCCGAGGAATTGTTGGTGCAGTGAGGAAGGTAAGACATGAACACAGATCACTATAAAATAAATCATAAAGTATATTTGGAAATCTCCCAGAAGGTACTGTGAGAAAGTAAAGGAGAAGGAGATCCCTTGAGCTGCAGTGGAACGGGGAAAGTAGCACCTTCCTCCCAGGGGGATAGTTAAGAGCAGATAACATAGGGAAAAGCACTTTACAAATGCTAGCATTTAATAATGACAATAATGGTAATGATGATGACAGTAATACTGAAGAAAAGCCTTTTCTTTTCACATTTTAAGTCTCTAAAGAGAAAGGTTTCACAGGCAGAGATGGAGCAGAAGGCAAATCAACCCAAGAATTGGCAAAGACAGACACTGGGGTGGGCAAAACTTAGTAGAGGATGAGATCAGGGAAACTGTGAATAGTTCCCTTTGATTAGAAAGCAGAGTGTGAGAAAGGGATACGGTTGGAGCCCGAAGTGACAGGCTAGGAGAAGAATCAGGGCAGACTTTTGCTTTAGAGCAATTACTCTGGCAGAGTGTGGAGGGGAGGGAGTTGAGGCGGGGGGACCAGTCTTATTCTAATAATTCAGGTTAAGATATGAAGAGACTCTAAAATAGAGCAGTCACAGGCGGGAGTAGGGGGTTGGGGGAGAGGAAGAGACAACTGACAAGACTTGGTAACCAACCATAGGGAGGAAGGGAAGGCCAGGAAAGTCAATAAGGACTAAGGTTTCATGACTGGGAAGGTGGGGCACCATCAAGAGAAATAGGAAAATTAGGAGGGGTAGGGTGTTGAGGAGTTTTGGGTGGGGGTGAGTGGGAGGACCATGAGTTCAATTTTACACATGTGAGTTTGAGGTACTGTTAAGATATGGAGTTCAGGGGAGTGGTCAGGATCCAAGAATGTGTAGGGTTCTGCTTTATAACTTCTGGTCAGAAGTATATGAATGGTCTGGGAGCCAAAGAGTACTGTTACTGTTGCTATAGAGGGATCTCAAAACACACAAAATATATATAACTACAGCGATAAGACTAGAACCCAAGAACAGGAAGGGTGTATCAATTAGATTATAATTATCTTGAGGGCAGGGATGATGTTTTATATATCTTCATAACTGTGCCTAGCACAGTACCTTGTATGTGAATGGTATTCACTAAATATGTTGAACTCAAACTTATGATAATTTTGCAAATGTTCGAGAATCCTGAAATAGTACAGAACAATTAGCTCATGGAATCGTGAGATGCACAGTCTCTCTCACCTCCCAAATCCAATCTGTTTCCCAGGCCTATTGATTTCACCTTTGCAACATCTCTTGAATATGCCCCCATCTCTCCTCTGATACTGCCACCACCCTGGTCCAGATCTTTATCACCTCATTGCCTGGACTATTGCAATATTTAGCTAGTAGTGGGTCTACCTGCCTCAAATCTCTCCCCACTCCAATCCATTTTCCATTCAGCCACCAAAGTGACTTTCCTAAAGCTCAGACCTGACCATGTCACCTCCCTCCTTATTCGACAAACTCCAGTGGCTTTCTACTCCAGCACCAAATATAAAATCTTGTTTGGCTTTTGTAGCCCATGACTTTTCATTGGCTTGTCCTCTGTACCTGGAATTCTCCCCCTCTTCATCTCTACTTCCCCGGCTTCCTTCAAGTACCAGACAAATCCACCTTCTGCAAGAAGCTTTCCTCTCCAATTTATGCTATATATGTCTTGTGCATACTTATTTACAACTTGTCTCCCCCGTGAGACTATGACCTACTTGAGCACAAGGACCATCTTTTGCTTCAGTGTCCCCAGTGCTTAGCACAGTGCCTAGCATATAGGTGACACTTAATAAATGTTCCTTGACTGACTGACTCTTAGCCAAGTAGAGCCCAAGTCTCTAGATTTTCAATGTGGTCCTTTCTACTACATGGAATCATGACTCCTAATAGTACAGTGAAATGAGCCTAGGCACTGGATTTGGGGGATCTGAGCTCAAATTCCACCTCCAACATTTACTTTGTATGGGCCTCAGTTTCCTCACTATAAAACAAGGGGGCTAGATGAGATAGCCTCTGAGGTTCCCTCTCGCTCTATTTCAACTCACACTTGCATGATGAATCACCCTTCCAATGTTCCCCAAATCCAAATCACTTCTATACTTGATCTTGCCTTGAGGCCAAGAAGTGACTGTTACATCCTCCTCTCCTCCTCTCTTCCTTTATCTTAATTCAATTTTTCAAAAGACATTTCCTAGGGGCCTAGGATGCCAAAGCACTGTGCTAAGCCATAGGGCACAGGGCTTAAGAGAAAAAGTCCCTGGCCTTAAAGGAACTTACGTTCTATTGGAATTCAGCCTTAATCCAACATATGGACTATTATAAGGCACTCACCACCTCTCAAATCAGGACGGCTAGAATTTTTAGAAAGGTCAATTATATTGAGTCAAAACTTCCCCCCAACTGGTCCTAGATCTATCTTCTGGGGAAAAGTAAAACGAGGTTGCTTCTTCTACTCTATCAGCCCTGTAGCTATGTGAAGACAGTGATCATGGCACATGTAAGCCACCCATCCTTCAAGGCCCCACTCAAATGACACATCCTTGGGGAACCATCATTCCTGTCAGACAGATGTGTCCTTTCCCACAGAATCTCAGAACTGCAAGGGCCTTGAAGGGGTATCTAAGGAAGCCTTGTATTACAGTGGAAAAAGTCTAAGGACTTGGGTTCAAATACCTCCTCTGTCATTTACAAGCTGTGCTACCCTAGGCAAGTCACAACTTCTTGGGGCCTCAGTTTCCTCATCTATACAATGAGGACATTAGATTTCATGACCTCTCAGGTCCATTCCAGGCCTCTAGGTATGATCTTATGATCTCTTCTATGATATCAGTGACAAAGAATGATGCAGATTCCACTTGAAGGGCTCCAAGTAAATAAGCATTTATTAAACGTCGACTGTGTGCAAAGTATTATGCCAAGCGCTAGGAACACAAAGACAGATAAAAAAAAGGCCCTGCCCTCAAGGAGCTCATAATCTAATCTAATAAGCATGCTAACAACTAACAAACTCATTATATTCTGAAGTGACATATTTCCCTTTGGCACAACTCTGATTATTAGTTTTTCCTTAAACTAAGCCAAAAATCCGCTTATCTATGACTTCCACACATTACTCCTAGCACAGCCCTCTGAGGGGAAATAGAACAAACCTAATCCCTCTTCCACATGACACAGCCCTCCAAATACATCCCCCCCACCCCGACTCCATCTTCTTTTCTATAAGCCGAACATCCCCAATTCTTTTGACCTCTGATACTATGCTTGATTTCAAATCCCCTCACCATCCTAGTCACTGCCCTCTGGACACGCTCCAGGTCACCATAACACACAAGACCTGGTCTGACCAAGGCGGTGGATATGTGAACAACACATTTCTGTTAGGGTAGAATTAATTACCATGTCACCCTGCTCACTCAGAGCAAACTTGCAGTGCCCTAAGACTGTAGGCTTTTTAAAAATGAACTCTAGTCACATTTCCTCCATCCTCACAAACAGTGAGGGGAATTTCCCTGAGAATCACAGTGTCTATTAGTAAATAGAGAAATTAGGTTTTGGGGTTTGAGCTGCACTAGATTGCCTGTTGGAGCTCCTTCCAATTTGGAACTCTGTCTCAGAACATAGTTCAATCCACACTCAAAAAAGAATTCCCACAACATAAGTGGCCAATGGGCCTCTTTGAGGACCTTCAATGAGAAGGGACCCATTCCACTAATTCCATCATTCATTACACTAATTTGTTATTGTGTTTCAGTCCTTTGACCCCATTTAGGGTTTTCTTGGCAAAGATACTAGATTGGTTTCCTTCTTCAGCCCATTTTACAGATGAGGAAACTGAGGCAAATGGGGGTAAGTGACTTGCCCGGGGTGACACAGCTAATAAGTGTTTGAGGCCGGATTTGAACTCGGGGCTTCCTGATTCCAGGCCTAGTACTCTATCCACTGTGCCACCTAGCGGCCCCGTCACTCCGCTAATGGGTAGCTGAAATTGTCATAAAGTTTTTTCCTGACAGCAAGGCCAAATTTGCCTTGGCAACTTCTACTCATTGCTCCCGATTCTCTCCTCTGGGACTAAACAAAAGTAAATGTAATATCTCTTCCGTATGACAACCTCGAAAGACCTGAAGACATCCATCCTATCCTTGAGTGTTCTCTAGATCCAAACGACTCTCATAGGACATGGACTCAAGGCCCTTCAGCATCTTGGTTGTTGAGGGCGCTCTGGACCCTCTCCACTTTATCAGTGTCTTTCCTAAACTGTATGTGTCCTAGAACACAATATTCTAGCTGTGGTCTGACCAGGCTAGAGTACAGCTTCCTAGAAGCTACTCTTTCTTAATGCAGCCTGACTTCATGTTCGGTTTTTTGGTGTTGTTTTTTTTTTCTGGCTGCCATATTGAATCACTGACTCATACTGAACTTGAAAACCACTACAACCCCCAGATCTTTTTCAGGCAAACTGCTATTTAAGCAAGCCCCACCCATTTTATATTTGTGCAGTTTTTTTAATAATAAATACAAAACCATACTTGTTGAATTAAATTTCACCTTATTAGGTTTAGCTGTTTCAGCCAGTTGAAATTATTTTCCTCTTATCGACTCCCATGAATTTTGAAAGGTGCAACATGTGAGTAGATTCCTAGATTCAGGAACAACCTACATTTGTGCTAGTGAAGATGAGTAAAGAGATCACTTTACAGAATGACCACAATAAAGTAAAAGAAAACAACATTGAAAGACATCAGACCTCAGAAGATGATGTAGTAACCAGTCTTGACTTCAGAGGATATGTCTCCAGCCTCCTGGCAGAGGTAGCAGGATGTAAGTGCAGAAAGAGGCGTATATGGTCAGATATGACCTGTGTTGATTCGTTCTACTTAAATGTACTTTTTTATTACAAGGGTGAGATCTAATTGGGGGGGGGGAGGTCACTGGAAACTGCTAGCAAGTGCATGTGTATGGCTGGGGGGAGATGGCATCAATAAAATATTTATATTAAAAACAACAAAAAAGAAAGCTCTGGGTTTCAATCTTGCCCCTAAAACTAATTAGTTGTGCAATGCTAGACACTAGACAAGGCACTTATCTTCTCCAAACCTCAGTTTGTTCATCTGTAAAACAGGGATATCTATAGCACTTACCTCACAGGGATGAAGTGAGAAGAAAATGAGACAGATGTATGTCAAGTGCCACACGTTGGCTATTTTTATTATCTCTTGCGGCCCTTATGACATTCTGCCTTATATTGTCATTAGACTGTAAGTGTTAGGAGGGCAAGACTGTCTTATTTAACTTTGTATACACTGACCCCAGAATTCTACCAACTCATTAAGATTCTATTTGTTGCACAAAATGAAATCTCTGAATTGCCAATATTGTAACTGCCCATGCTCCAAGTTTATCATTCTTGAATTCAGTTTGTTGGGGTTTTTTAAAGCAATTTATGGCACATCATCACATGCCATTTCTGGTCTTCTCAGATCCTTTATAACCTGATTATTCCAACCTTCCTCCTTGATTCAGGAGGAGATCTGAAACAGAATAGTTCTAGATTTCCTGGTGTTGCAATTTGTACCAAACCAAGTGATAATAACTGTCCACATCACAGGCTCAACAAAGTTTCAAATTGTTTGACAAGGTTAGGCAAAACAAGCAGCCTATTGTATTGGGAAGAGACCTTTAGACTATTACTAGTAGAAATTTGACACCATAGCTCATAACAAACTAAAAATGGATACTGACCTAAATATAAGTGGTTATATCTTTTTTTTTTTAATTTGGTGAGTCAATTGGGGTTAAGTGACTTGCCCAGAGTCACACAGCTAGTAAGTGTCAAGTGTCTAGGGCCACATTTCAACTCAGGTTCTCCTTACTCCACAGCTGGCGCTCTATCCACTGTGTCACCTAGCTGCCCTAGTTATACCATAAATTTTTTTTTTAAAATAGAAGAGATCAGGTAACTTTCAATGCTATGGCTAGGGGGGTAGTGAGGTATTAACCAAACAAGGGATAGAAGTGATCACAAAGGATAAAAAAAAGAAATTTTGGTTACATTAAATTGAAAAGCTTTTATATGAAATTAATGCAGCTGAGATAAGACAGGAAACTTATTTGAAAAAAAATCTCTGCACCAATTATCTCCATTAAGTGTCAGATATCGAAGATATATAAGAAATTAACACAAATATATGACCAAGAGCCATTTCCCAATAGTTAACTGATCAAAAGATGAGAACAAATGTTCTCAAAAAAAGTTGCAAGTTGCTCTTTTTGTGGTAGCAAAAAATTGGAGATTGAGGGGATGAGATCAATCAGAGAGTGGCTCAACAAGGTATGATATAAGATTGTGATGGAATACTAATGTGCTATAAGAAATGACCAAGATGGTTTCAGAAAAACCTGAGAAGACTTAGATGAACTGATGAAAAGTAAAGTGAACAGAACCAGGAGAACACTGTTCAGTAACAGCAATATTCTAATGATGATCAACTATGAAAGACATAGCTACTCTGATCAAGACAATGATCCAAGTCAATTCCAAAGGACCCATGAAGAAAAATGCTATCCACCTCCAGAGAGAGAACTGATCCACTCTGAATGCAGACTGAAGCATACTTTTCCCATTTTCTTTTGCAATATGGCTAATATGGAAATATATTTTGCATGACTTCATACGTATAATCAATATGAGACAAGGGAATATTTATGTGAAGTAAATTTACAATGAAGTAAGCAGAAGCAGGAAAACAATATGCTTAATGAATGCAAAAATATAAACAGAAAAAAATAAAACTGAATAATTGTAATGATTAAGCCCAACCAGAAGAAAAGTTGGGAAAATGGATCTCTCCTCCTCCTCCACTACAGTGGTGCAGGGCTATGGGCATGAAAATTTGCATATGCTACTAGACATGGCAGAACATCAGACAGTTTTGTCAAACTGCTTTCATTCTCAGAAATGAATGTGATTCAACAAAAGGTGTCAATAAAAAGTATAATTGAGTCAACAAGCATTTATTAAGCACCTGCTATGTTCCAGGCACTGTACTAAGCAGTAGGGACATAAAATAAGCAAACAAACAAACAAAAACCAGTGTCTGCCCTCAAGGAGTTCACATTCTAATGTGAACATGCAAACAATTTCGTTCAAACAAAATAAATACAGTGTGTCCAGGAGGAAATCTCAAAGGGAAGGTACTAGTATTAAGGACAATTGGGAAAAGCTTCTGGCAGAAGGTAAAATTTCAGCTGAGTCTTGAAGAAAGCCAGGGAAGACAGAAGGCAGAGACGAGGAGAGAAAATTCCTGGCATGGCAGGGATTGCCAGCGAAAATGCATGAAGTTAGAAAATGGAGTGTCCTGTGCAAGAAATATCGAAGTCAGAGTGGCTCTACAGGGAGGGAAACAAAATGTAAACTGGAAAGTTAGGAAGGAGCCAGGTTGTAAAGAGCTTTAAAAGCCAAAGACAAGATGTTATATTTGATCCTAGGGGTAACAGAGATCCGTTGAAGTTTGTTGAGTCGGGGAGGGGAGGTTGACATGGTACAACCTGCCCTTAGGAAGACAGAGGTTAAGTCTGGATAAGTAGATCTGAGAGTCATCTGCACGAAGATTACTGAATCAGTGGGAGCCAATGAAATCACCAAGGGAAATAGTATAGAAGGAAGAGAGAAGAGGGCCCAGGACAACCTTAGGGCATATCCAGGTAGACATGATCTGGATGAAGATCCAACAATTAAAGGGAAAAGACCAAGACTTCTGGGACACATCATGTTGTGCATGTATGTTTCTTAATACTCTATAAGATTATGAGATCCATGAGGGCTGGGGTCATGTCTCATCTCAACCATTCTCAAGGACCTACTGAAGGGGTCATCTATCCCCACCAACCAACCAGGGCAAGTCAGGTCAGGCATCTAGGAAAGAGGAGTAGCATGGAGAACAAGGTCATTAACAGCATTAAAGGCTGAAGAGAGGTCAAGAAGGATGAAAATTAAGAAAAGACCATTAGATTTCTCAATGAAGAGCTCCTTGATAACTTTGGATAAGTAGTTTCAGTTGAATCATTAGATTGGAAGCCAAACTGCAGAGTTTAGAAAAGAATAAGAGGAAATGAAAAAGAGAAACGGAAAAGAGAGATTCTTGGGTCAACTAAACCAAGCCAGAATAAGGATGCTGGGATAGTGGAGTCAGGATATTTTAGATTACAGCCCTAGGTCTACCTACCACTTCCTAGCCGGGTAGTTGCACAAGTCAATTCTCCACTTTCTCATCTTAAGTAATCATCATGCCTGTGCTAATCTTGATGGAAAGGCAAGTAAGAGGGATATAACCATCCACCTTGATCCTTGGGTTATTTCATATGGTTTAAACATGACAATTTCTATCTTACTCCTCTTTTGGAGGGATCTCAGATGGCTCCAATGACAGGGATTCAGAACATGAGCCATCTCAGTTCTGTCACTGACTATATGGCTCTGGACAAATCCTTCTCCCTCCAAAGGGCTTCAGGAGAATTGGAGAGGGCCTCATATGTCATCTAGCACAAACTGTACAGAATCTCCAATAAATGGTCATCTAGCCTGATCTCCAGAGGTAGCCAATTTTGCATTCAGACAGCTATGATTGTTAAGAAGTTCCTTCTTATATGGTCATTCAATCAAAACCCAAATCAGCCCACTCTAATTTCCACCCATTTTTCCCCAGTCTGGAGCCAAGCAAAAGGAATCCTTCTTTATGATAAGTTTGCCTTCTTTCCCTCTCTTCCTTCCTTCCATCTGCATTCAAAGTTGATCGGTTCTCTCTCTGAAGGTGTATCGCATTTTTCATCATGGGTCCTTTGGAACTGTCTTGGATCATTACAGCTAAGTCTTTCACAGTTGATATGACAGCCCTTTCAATAACCGAAAGCGGCTGTTATGTTCCCCACCCCCATCCTCAAGTCTTCCCTACTCCAGGCTAAAACACCCCTAGTTTCTTCTTTGATCCTGGAATTGATTCGGAGCCGCTGGAGTTTAGTGAATGGCAGTGGTGACATGGTCAAACTTGAGCTTTAGAAAAATTAATCTGAGAGCTGAGTGGAGGGTACTCTGCGGCCAATGATGAAAAGATTTTGCAAACTGTCAAGAAGACAGGGTTGAACTTCAGTGGGAAGGCAATAGAGTTACTGCTGATTTCTGACCAACTGGGGAAATGACCAGACTCTAATTGGAAAAGGGATCAAGTCGGGGTTAGGAAATAGAATTGACAGTGCCAACGTCCAGGCACAAGTAATGAGGGCCTGGCTGGAGTGGGTTAAGCAAGATGCAGAATCCCTCCCCTCAATTCAATAAGCATTAAATTGCCTAAGGTGGGAAAAGTAACTTGAAGATGCTGAACTCAAATAGCTGTGTGACCCTGGACAAGCCCCCTTAATCTCTCAGAGAAAAAGTTCCCACATCAATAAATTAGGGATAATAGCAGCACCTACTCCCACAGGGTTACGAGAATCAGATAAGATAATGGAGATAATTCACTGGAAGCAGCCCCTGCCCCTGAGGGGCTAGAACCCTGGACAAGCTGATCAAGCACTGAGGTCATTCCCGGCCCCCGGGTCCTGCACACCTCCAACCCCCGAGGCCCAGACTCCCAGGGTCCCCAGCTGCGGGCAGTGGTTTCCAGCCCCCACGACCCCCTCCTCCTCCCGAGCCCCGAGGAGGGGGCAGGTAGTTAGGCAAAAGTTGGGAAAGCCCTAGCAGGGTGGGGGTGGAGGGGGGGATCCGTACACGTCACGCTGACGCGACGCCCCGGCTCGCCGCGGCGGGCTTCGCTTGTTGACACCGTTGCCCCGGGAGACGGGGAGGGGCGGGGGGGGGGGAGCGGAGAGGGGGCGGGGCCCAGGCTGGAGCTCCAGGCTCTGGTCCGCAGCCGCTGCGGCCGCGGCCGCCGCCGGCTTATATACTGCGGCTAAATTTAGGCTGAGCCCGGAGCTCGTCCCCATCCGGGACGCGTTTCCGCCGCCGCTGCCATTGGCCCGGCCCCGCGCGCGCCGCGTTATAAGGCTCGGGCGGGCCCCGGGGCCGCCACTCACAGCCTTGTCAGCCCCCCGCCCAGCCCGTCATTCTGTCGGTCAGTGAGTCCGGCTCGGCGCGCGCGCGCCCGTCACTCAGTCAGCCCTCCAGCCGGTGACAGCGGCAGCCAGGCAGCACCCACACATTCTCTAGCTCCCCTCCCTCGCTCTCTCCCGCCCACAAGTCGGGCCGTCGGTCTCCGGCCATCAGTCCGTCCGTCTCCCCTCGGGCGCCCGGCGGCCATGGCGCTGAGCGAGCCTATCCTGCCGTCCTTCGCCACGTTCGCCAGCCCGTGCCGGGAGCGCGGCTTCCAGGAGGTGAGTGAGCGCCCCGCGCCCCCTCCGCGCCCCACGCCCCCTCTGCGTGTCCCCGACCCCAGTCTCACCGGCCCTCTCCGTGTCTCCCTCCCGCAGCGCTGGCCCCGCACCGAGCCCGAGCCCGGCGGCGCCGACGAGGACCTCAATAGCGTGCTCGACTTCATTCTCTCCATGGGGCTGGACGGGCTGGGCCCCGAGGGCGCCGCGGCCCCCGAGCCCTCGGCCGCCTTCTACCCGCCGCCGCCCCCCGGCTGCTATCCGGAGCCCCCAGCGGCCGCGGCCCCACCGCAGCAGCAGCAGCAGCAGCAGCCGCCCCCCTACGGGCTGGCGGCGGCGCCCGAGCCCCAGCCGGCCCCGGCCCCGGGCGCGCTGCAGGGCCGCTTCCTGCTGGCCCCGTCCGCCTTCGGGGGCTTCGCCGACGGCATCAAGGCTGAGCCCGAGCTGGACGGCGGCGCCTTCGCGGCCGCCCTGGGCCGGCCCCCTCGCTGCGTGAAGCGGGAGGGCGGCGGGGCCTGCATGCTGGGCCCCGGGCCCGGCCCCGACACGCCCCCGCTCAGCCCCGACGGCCGCAGCCCGCTGCAGGACGCCCACCCGCGGCTGGCCGCGCCGCGCCCCTTCGGGCCCCCAGGCGCTTTCGGCCCCGCGGCGGCCGCCGCCGCCGCCGCCTTCCCCGGGCCACCCCAGCTGCACTACCCCGCGGGCCCCTTCGGGCTCTTCGACGAGGGCCTGGGTCTGGCGGCCGCCGCCGCCGCGGGGCCCGCAGCCCGGGGGCTGCTCACGCCCCCCTCGTCGCCCCTGGAGCTGCTGGAACCCAAGCCCAAGCGCGGCCGGCGCTCGTGGCCCCGCAAGCGGACGGCCACGCACACGTGCAGCTACGCGGGCTGCGGGAAAACGTACACCAAGAGCTCGCACCTCAAGGCGCACCTGCGCACGCACACAGGTGGGTGCAGGCAGGTCCGGGGCCGGGGTGGCGAGGGGCGTGTGCACGCTCGTAGCCTCTGAGGCGGCTCTTAGGGATTCCCCCCTACACGCATACACGCCCTCTGTAGGAACTGTAAGGGGGGGGGCTGGACATCTTTTAGTCATAGAATGAATATCCCCCCACTGGTGTGTAGGGGTGGTGAAGGGGCACGGAAGTGCCTGGAAATGAAAGCTTGCCCCTCGGAGGAAAGGAGGGCTGCAGAGAGTGCAGGGGGAGGAATAGATCTGAGCCAGGGATGTGACACTGTCATGAAAGGCTCTGGAGAGGCTGTGGTAGCCGAGGAAGGGGGTGGGGTGATGCACTGTTTACTGTGCTGGGTCTCTTCCCCTAACTCTAATAGCAATTCATGTTAGGGGGGAGGGGAACATGGTGAAAATCGTAGATGGGGAAGTTATGTATGAGGAACATGCAGTTAAGGTTTACAGCTGTGTGGCTTGGGGTGCTTTAAGCATAGAGTGTAATGTGTGGAGCTTCGAGTGCAGGTATCTCCTGGTACTTTTGATGGTCTAAATGCGTCTGTGTGATCTCTTGGCAGGTGAGAAACCCTATCACTGTAATTGGGATGGCTGCGGTTGGAAATTCGCCCGATCAGATGAGCTAACCCGGCACTACAGAAAACACACGGGGCACCGACCCTTCCAGTGTCACCTCTGCGACAGAGCCTTTTCCCGGTCTGACCACCTGGCCTTGCATATGAAGAGGCATATGTAACTGGGCTCCAACCCAGGCAAGCTTGTAGCTGGCACTACACGCTGAGCCTTGAGCCAGGGACCTCTCTGAACTCTTTTCTCCCAGAATGTGACTGGTATTTATTGGGCTTTTGTGAAAGGCTATCGTCCAGCAGGACTGTACTTGTACATAGGGCATTTCCCCTCATTGGACCCTGACCACAGACTTAAAAAGAGGTTTGTGCATTGGAATCCCTGACGCTGACCCCAGTGGGACTGAGTGCCGGTTGAATCGGACAGTTTTGTCTGATTTTCGATCTCACCTAAAAGGCATGGTTTGAGAAGATTCCCTACTTCTTGACGAATTTTGTATTCAAAATGGTGCAATAGTATCCTTATACTCTCAGCCATGGTCTACACTAGTACAAGGCTTGATGTCTTGTAAGTAACATAGCCTTAACTTTACTGCCTGAAATGTTGGATAATGTAAATATTTGGCAAGTATTGTAATAATGTAAATATACAAGGACAAATGGGCATTTTTGCCTGTTTCTGTTTTATATGAAAATGATTTCTCAGTTTTTAAAAAAAAATAAAAACAAATGTTTTGCATCTTTTAAAGAATGTTTCCATGCATACCCAGAGTTGGCTTTTTTGAATACTAGCAGTTTTGATATACCTCTGGTTGTCCTGGGGAGTTGGTGCCAGTTTCTCACTGAATGTGGAATGAAGGAGGTAGAGGGATGGGGTTAGTAAAAAAAAAAAAATGATGAAACTTAGAGGGAGGTGGGGAAAAACCAGCCAGATTTACTACCTTTTCAGAAATGGTGTTTTAGTTAGTCAGTTTGGGTTGGGCTTGTACAGGGCTATTTTCATAGTCTCAATGTTTTCCAGCTGTGGTGACTGTGTGCCAGCAGGCATGTGGGTTTTTCCTATAAATTTAAACACTGCATTTCTGTAACTAGGGAGGCTTATTTTAAGGCTGTCTCACACATCAATTACCTTCTTTTCCCAAGGGCTTAGGGGAAAGTGGTGGATGACCCAGCTGATACAAAACCCTCAAAACCATTGGTCTTAAAAAAGGACTACTCCAACTGTCCTGTATTATTTTGGTAGCTTCTGAGTTGTCCTTTAAACTTTTCAATTAAGAAGTGATTCAGTCCTTAAGGATTTTCTGCTCCAATATGCTCAGTTTCTTCCTTGCCATATAAATTTTTATGTGTCCTAAGTCCATGTTTTACTGAAGGAAGGTTCTGTAAAAACCCTCTTTATAGAATTGTTTATCTTAAAATCAGTGACCATAACTGACAGTTCTAGTACCCCATAATTGACATGTGTACTCTTCATGCATTATCTCCTTCATCTTCCCAACGACTCTGAGAAGATGGTCAAGAATTGTCCCCATTTTACAAATGAAGATTTGATAAAGGGGAGACATGTACTCCAAATAGAATAAATAAGGGTCTGCTCAATCTGAACATAGGGCTCCTGACTTAGCAGTCCAAGGCTCTTTCCATATTAAGTTGCCTCCTACTGATGAAGATCAAGCCAGGATTTTTAACATTGATTGGGTTGAATATACACTCTACCTTGTGAACACAGGAAGCACAGAAACATAAGCACTGTTAAATACACCTTAACAATACTGTTTGGATACACTTTTTTTGCCAATATTGTAGAAGGGCTGTCTCTGTAGTCTCTAAGCCTTTTGTCTGGCTTAGAAAGATTAAATGTCTTGCCCAGGGTCACCAGTACAGTAAAGAGCAGATCCCCAATTCCAGCCCAGGCCATTTGACTCATTGTTGGTCCAATCTTCTTCCACTGCAAACTGCCTTTAGAAATGGGTGCACTCTCCACATTCCATTTTATGGATGTGAAAGTAGTGTTAAGACTGACAAGGCTTCCACTCAGGACCCAAGCATCCTCAATCTGAGGTAACTGCACTAACCACCATCCGGTCACCCCACCCCTGAAACTTTGAAGTGTTGCCTCTATCCAACAGATTTGCCTTGGGACCACAATCGCTGGTAAGGAAGAACAAATTTCATATTTTACTCTTGACGTGTGTTTCAAAGTGCTAATTCAACACATCTTCATTAAAAAAAAAAAAGAAAAACCCTGGAAACCTTAGTTCCTAGCAATTGCACAATTTGTTTCCAGAAAGTGAAAATCGCACAGCATATTTTAAAATAATCATACATCATGTTGCAATAGTCCTAAGGATTTCCTCCCTTCCCTTCTCCCCTAGATAAAACCTGTGAAGGCAGATGAGTATGTTAAGTAATCTTCAGAAAGCAGAAATTGAAAATTAACATTTGATTCAACTTTCTAGATCAACATCCCACCAACTTCCTCTTGTACTTAGAGTTTTTGTTTTTCTTTAAAAAAAAATCTCTCTGCTCTTGTTACTTCTTTTGCAAATATGTTTTCAGAATGTGACCCCAGAGATGTGAAATCTCTTGTCCTGCACTGGCCCTAGAACATGATGAAATTTTTTTTTTCTTTCATCAGTCCTGGCTCATTTACTGTTGATGCCCCTGTAATGTCTTCCTAGTACCAAAAAACAGGGCACATCTCAGAGCAGGGAGAGGTGGGGTCAGAAAACCTAGATTCTCAATCCAGTTCTGCCACTAGCTGACAAATCTTAGATTATTTTTCTTCTGTGGGTATCAGTTTCCTCATCTGTAAAATGATAAGTTTGGACCAAGTAATTTCTAGAGTCCCACCAAGCTCTGACATTCTATGTTTTAAAGTCCTTTCCATCTCTAACTTTCTGTGTTGTAAGGTCCCTTATACTATAGCAAACGTTTATTCATTGACTATTCTGTGACGGGCACTATGCTGGATACCAGAGGAAACAGAAAGTCTAGATGCGATATTCCCCACTTTCGGGGAGCTCACAGTCTAGAATGGAGATAAGACACCAACATATTACATACATGTAAGCTTCCTTGGAAGCTAGAATTTGCAACATATAGTGGAAAGATTACAGATTCTAGAGTCCAAGGACATCGGTTCAAATGCCACCTCTGACTCTTAACTATCAATGTGACCTTCAGCAAAACATTTAACCATAAGCCTCAGTTTTCTCATCTGTTAAATTGGGTGCAGAAGATTAACTAGATAGGCTACTACATCTAAGACCCTGGAGTTTTTGTCTTTGTACCCCCCCAGTGCCTTGATCACGGGTCTTAATAAATGCTTATCAAATTATATTTAACTGCATTATGGAGTTACAAAACTCCATCAGGCCATGGGGGCAATGTCATTACTAACAAGAGGTTCACAGAAGGCTTTATGGTGAGAAGGTGGTATTGAAGTTGCACGTTAAAGGACGAGCAATGATAACAGTAGCTTATATTAAGGTGGCACTTCAAAGTGTCTCACAAATATCCTCCTATTTGAATCTCACAACAACGTTGGAGGTAGGTGTTATTATACCCATTTTACAGATGAGTAGACTGAGCCTGAGAGCAGCTGGTCCGAGGGTCACACAGGTAGTGGTTGATGTTTAGTCGTGGCCCAGTTAAGGTCCTCTTGGCAACGATACTAGAGTGGTTTTTGCCATTTCCTTTTCCTACACAGGTAGTAGGCAGGGTAGGAATTCAACAGGCAAAGAGAGGAGAGACAAAGCTCATTCCAGACATAGGGATCAGCCAGAGCAAAGGCAGAGGCATGAGGTTGCAGGTCATGAACCGGGGCAGAGAGTTTTCAGTTTGACTAGGCTATAGCGTATGTGGTGAGGACTGATATGAGATAAGGGTGGGAAAAAATGGGGAGGTGTCAGCTCTTGGAGGACCTTGAATGCCAGTCACAGGAGTCTGAAGACGATTTGAAAGCTAACACAATGTCACTAAAGATTTTGAGCCCAATGGCTCCAAATGCCCACATCTTGGCAATGTTTTCAGGGGCTAAAATCAAATAATCAGATAATCCTGAGATGATTCTGGTAGCGGTAGGCAGGATAGCCTGGAGGTAGGCTACTGCAAGTTACTGCAACAGTCTGGTAGTGGGAGTCTAGGGGAGTGGTCAAAATCTGAGAGAGGTTGTCAGATGGACAGGACTTAGGTGACTGATTGGATATGGGCGATGAGAGAGAGGGATGAAGCAAAGATGACTGCAGAGTTCCAGCTCTAACCTTGTACAGTTTCAATCTAAGTGCAGTCGGTTTTGTTTCCCCACAAGAGTGGGTTCAGGCCACAATCAACGGAAGACGACTCAACCCTTTTGCCCAAGGCCATTTTCCTAGCTGATTTCAATGCACCTGCCAAGTTTTCTAGCCAACATGTTGTCTTACTACATCTGAGTTTCATTAAATTCACATCTAAAATGGGGATGAAACTCATGTTGAGTTTCTGTTTTCTTAAGTGTCTCCAATTGAATAGAAGAGAGTGTGTTACATAACATCACTCATATATTTTTCATCAAGAGACAAAAGGACATAATCTGGAAGGATCAGTCGTAACAGAGACGCTGCAAAATCTTTACATGCAATTATCCTCTGCTGACTCAGCTCCCTGAAACCAAACACCTGTTGACGGAAGATTTTTTTTTCCCCTCCTCTCTTTTTTGGCCCTCTCCAAAATGCTGATGAAAGAGAGACATTCTCCATGCTAGATCCGCCCCAGCCCTTATTAAAACTGACTTCACTGGGCCCATCAGGGTGTTAATACACTTAAGCATTTTTTTTTTCAGCAGAAGACAGCCAGCTATACAATCCCATTCATCTCATAATAACACCAGTTGGCATTTATGTAATAATTTATCTATATTATCTAGTTTGAGCCTTACCACAACCCTGTGAGGCCAGTAGTTCAGGTACCATCATCCCCATTTTATAGATGGGAAGACTAAGGATCATAAAAGGCTTACTCAAAGCTTCTAAGTGGCAGAGACTGGAGGACTTGAGCATGGATCTTCTCAGCTCTGACCCAGAGTTCTTTCCACTCCAACAGCCTTCCTCAGGGTCATGACAGTAACAGCTAGCAGGTTTAGAGAGGGGCTTTAAGGTTTGCAAAGCACAATATGAATCATTTCATTTGATCCTTATGACAACACTGTGAGACAGTGCTATTATTAGCCCCATTTTACAGATGGGGAAACTGAAGCTGAAGTGAACTGAACGCTAGGGTCTCACAGGTGGTAAGTGTCCAAGGCAGGATGCTAAGTCAGGTCTTCTGCACTCTATCCACTACACCACGTAGGTACCGGGCCTCTTTACAGGCTGTTCTGTAGTCAGCCCCACCCTGTGAATCTACTTCCAGGGCACCTGGAATTCAATAAGCATTTACTTAGTTCCCTGTATTTTGCAAGGCACACTGTTAGAAACCAGGGGTACAAACGATAAAAGTGAAAACCAACCCCTTAGCCAGCTACAGCCAAGACAATGACTGTGATGAGAATGCCCAGCGTGTAGTATTTTGAAAGAAGGTTGCAAAATCAGTTGGGCTGAAGATCAGATGCACCTGAAACCATGCATCCAGGGGAGGAGGGCAAAGCAGTGCAATTACCCAAAGGAAGACCGGAATCTTAGGAGCCTCTCTTGCTGGAAACTGGCCAGGGGCCAAAATGCACTATTGAGTGCCACTGGAGACCAGTGACTAATCCCGAGTCAGCATGACTGGGTTT